GGTCCGTGCCCAAAGCATTGTGGGGATTTTAAGCATCCGAAGTCTACCCATGTGCAGCCTCGAAATTTCCCCCAAACCAAGGACGCGGCCTTGGTGGAATTCCAAGTATGCTGGACATTGGAACGGTCCTGCTGCAACACCCTCATCACATATCTGTCTGCAATTGAGGAGTGGATGTCAAGCAACTTCCTACAGCTCAATGCATCAAAAACGGAAGTCTTGATCTTGGCGGCTGATAACATCGCCTCTAAGGTAGCAAGCCACCTGGGTTCATTTAGTGGTAACGTTAGGGCAAACATAAAAAACCTTGGTGTAACCTTCTATCAGTCTATGCTACTAGACAAACACATAAAACTCCTGACCCGTACCGGTTTTTTCCATCTCAGGAACATTGCCAAGCTAAGGGGCTTTCTATCCAATGCAGAACTGGAGATGGCTATCCATGCCTTTATTTCATCCCGGCTTGATTGCTGTAATGCTCTGTTCTCCTGCCTCAACAAAGCATCTATAAACCGGTTACAACAGGTCCACAATGCTGCAGCCAGATTACTCACTCGGTCCAAAAAAACATGCCACATCACTCCGATTCTTTCTGCCCTGCACTGGCTCCCTGTCCATCTCAGAGCCCAAGTCAAAGTACTGGTCTTCACATATAGAGCTGTCCATGGCCAAGCCCCAGCCTACATCAATGACCTTATCCACCCGCACATCACAACCCGGGCCCTGAGGTCCTCTGAGCAAGGCCTCCTAAGGGTGCCCCGAACCAGGCTAAAGACTAAGGGTGACCGTGCCTTTGAGGTGGTGGCCCCAAGGTTTTGGAACAAACTCCCCCAGATAATAAAAACCTCGGCCTCAATAGAGATTTTTAAGGGGCAGTTAAAGACACACCTGTTCCGACAGGCCTTTGGGTCGTCGGAGGTGGTGAGTTAGTGGCTGTCTTTTTTATTGGTGTTTTGTCGTATGTTTTATCCTATGTGTTACCTGCTGCTGTTTTATGCCTTTTATTCTACATTTTATAGTTGTACTTTGAATTGTGTCCTGTGTACTGTACTGTAAAGCACTTTGTACATCCGTGTTGAGAAGGGTGCTATATAAATAAAGTGTTACTTACTTACTTACTTGATGACGTAGCATCCTTGAAATATTGGCTTGGAAGCCAGTTTCCTCGAGATTGATAAACGGCCACTGCCTGAGGAAGGTTATGTGTATTTTTTTTGGTCATTAACTTTTTCCAGACCACTTATTTATTTATTTTGGTGACAATCCGACCTCCATGCTGCTACTCTGGGTCAAACTGCATCCACCAAACAATATGATTGGTCTCGAGTCTCGACCTCCCCAAAAGAACCAACATCTGACTCTGTGTGAAAAGTATTTTTTAGATGTTCTGTCGTCATTTCCTGCAATCTTCTTCCTGCAGTCAGTCTTAATGGATATTAATACGGGAGTTTCTTTGACTATTTATAGGCAAATATGGACGTTACGTGAAGCCGGCAGAAGCTAAGCCGCATTTCAAGTTGATTGTGATTGTCCCGGCGTAGGATGTGTGTGCGCAGTGTTTTATAAATCGGAATATTTGTGTGCGTATTTACTTGCTTTGTCCTACGTACGCCACCTTCCCACGAGAATCCTACGCAAAGTTTTATAAATGAGGCCCCTGAACAGAGAATATGAACTGCTACCATCTAATGGAGATTCAATGAAGTCAGACTGAAGCATCCTTTGTGCTCCAGTCAGTCCTCTCAGTAAATACAGAGCTGAATCCAGATCAGAAGCACGCTGAAGGCTCTTTGAGCAGGTTGTCTCTCACTGATCCCGCTGTTATGTTAAATGTTTGTTGTTTGTTGTTCATGTATTGTATCTTGATATTTGTATGTTGATGTTACACATGTATGGGATTCGTTTTGTATCATAGAGATAAAGCAACACTTTCTCAGAGTCAAGCAAAATAAAATACATTTCAAAAATAAAACTATAAGTTGCAAACAAATCGTTTGTGTAATCACAACCCAGTCTCACATCTAACCGTGTAATAACTACGTTGGTCCACAACTTGGGACGTAGTAATTCTACAAAAACGCCTCTGAAATTTTAGGATCCCTACGTTTTTTTTCACCATCCATTTCCAATGGCTGCCACGTGATCTTCAAATGTCTCTCCGCAGAAATAAAAAAACACGACCTGCGTTTTATTCTCGGTGGAAAATGCCTATTTTAAGGTTAGTTTGTCCATTAAAATGCGTTTTGATGTCATTTGATGCGAGAAATATGAGTTGTTATTTCAGATTATGTGCGCAGTGGATGCACATGATCTTTAGTTTGCTAGTTATTACGAAGATTACTTCAGGAAATTGTGTCGATACAACGTTTTCATTGTTACCAAGGTGGTTGCTAGGGACGCTGCTATCGATATTATTTCTGTTATGTTGCGGTGTTATCTTTATTGCTACCCCCTTCCCCGTCAATGTATAGTGTTGGTCCACAGCGCAAATGTATTAGTTTAACAAAATCCGCATCTAAAATTGTGGCATAGATCCTTATTTCCCCTGTGCAATTCCAGTCTCACATCTCACATCACATCGTCATTAACAAATACTGGAAACAGACGTAGGCAAGATCCTCAGCTCGGTGATTGGATGGTTTAGCCGCAATGCACGTTGGGAAATGGTGTTTCTACGATGTGAAATCCAAAAACATTTTTTAAAAATAAAATAATACTTTATTCCGAGTGTGTCATCACATAACGGCATTGTAATACACGGTTCGGCTGCATTAAATATTACATATCTGCCGTAGTTCTCTATTTATAGAGCCCTGCTGAGAAGACTTCTAGACAAACATGAGGAACTGAAAACGTGACGTGGATCATAAATATATCAGCCATTAAACAACATCTTACATTTCTTTTCACACAATACGTCTCCTTGCAGTATCAACACTAATTCAGCTGACTTTTATATTTGATCCAATCGGTAGATAGGCTGTATTTACACCATAAAGGTGCACAGCTGATAGAAAGGGACACCTAGTGGTTAAAGCATGTTATTGAATTTTATTATTTTATTATTAGATATTAATAGGATCCCTATAAAGTATATTCATTACTCGTTATTCTCTACTAGTTAATTAAAGACTGTATATAATGACTATTTTGCACATCCCTTTCAAGATTTCAAGATTTTCTAAGGTTTATTGACATATCATATTATACACAACTACGGTGTAGTTCTGCAATGAATGAAAAACTTGGGTCGCAGGTTCCTCAACAGTGCATTACAAGACATCTATCATTATGTGTGTACCTCCACCATTAAACTGTCAAATTCTGCACATTTCTTATACTATCTACATACATCTTATAAGAGTATAATACATATGTATAATATCAGTTAAAATAAGTGCTTCAACATAGTTAACATTGCTGGAGGTACGCACAAATATTGATAGATGTCTTGTAATGCACTATTGAGGAACCTGCGACCCAAGTTTTTCATTCAATGCAGAACTACACCATAGTTGTGTAGGCCTATATGATATGTCAATAAACCTTAGAAAATCTTGAAATCTTGAAAGGGATGTGCAAAATAGTCATTATATACAGTCTTTAATGAACTATTAGTAGAGAATAACGAGTAAAGAATATACTTTATAGGGATCCTATTAATATCTAATAATACAATAAAAATAATAAAATAAAATAACGTGCTTTAACCACTAGGTGTCCCTTTATATCAGCTGTGCTATTCTGAGAAAGTGTTGCTTTATCTTTCTGATACAAAACTAATCCCATACACATGGAGCTGCTGTGATGCAAGTCACATTTCAGACTTGATCATTAAAGTATTATCGTGTCGTATACAACGTTCTAAGCTATATCTAACCATATTGTGCATTCATATTGTATTTTCTAAACAGGTTGTGATCTTTCATTTGGGGATAACAGTGTTAGGAATATATTGTGATGAAGTGCACACTGACCTGAGCTCCAGGGGTCTTTTGGTTCTCCTCCATGCTGCTCTCAGTGCTCCTTCTCCGGCTGTGTCTCTGAAATAATCAACAGCGGACACAAAACAAGACAACTCAATACAACAGACAGACACAACAAAACTAATCTACTTCGTAGGTTCAAAGCAGAGGTGAGAAGTAACTAAGTACATTTACTCAAGACCTGTACTTAACTACCCTTTAGAGGTACTTTTACTTTACTTGAGTATTTCCATTTAATGCTACTTGGTACTTCTACTCCTCTACAGTTCAGAGGTAAATGGTGTACTTTTACTCCACTACATGCATTTAATACCTTTAGTTATTTTAAAGATCTGGATTAATGATGTGAAATATAATCAAGTGTTAAATCAGACTTTAGTTCCACCTGGAGTAAATTCACAAGCTACCCTGCCCTGCAGTAGCTACCCTGCAGTAGCTACCCTGCAGTAGCTACCCTGCAGTAGCCACACACACACACACACACACACACACACACACACACACACACACACACACACACACACACAGTGTGTTTTCCTGCAGACATCAGAGACATGGTGAACTATTTGGGGTGAAGTGTCTTGCCCAGGGACACAACGACATGCTGACTGCAGTGGGGTTTGAACCTGTGACCTCCTGATCCGAATACCAACTCACAACCCACTGCACCACACGCCACACGTTATCCCGACTTTTTCTTTTCTCTCTCTCTTTTTTGTTGTTCATGTCCCTTAGGGGCTCCATAGAAATATATCAAATAAAATAATAATATAACATATAATTCAATCACAAAATCTAACTTTAAATTACATACTAAAGATTTGTAATATTAAAAAATATGTTTTAGTAAAATAATAAAAAATAAAGTGATAAAAATAAGAATTAAATGCATTATTGTTTTCAAATATTTTTACATAAAACTTGAAAACAATATTGAATTAGAAATGTAGACAAGCTGCTGATGTAATTAAATAAGGTATTTGGCTCTCTCTGGCGGTCACTCCGCCACCTCACATTTTGCGACGGTACTAGTGTCTTTACGGCAGTTCACCACAACATCAGACATCATGGCCTCCTCCGCAGTTCCGGAGGATTTACCTGCGAACCGGGAGGGTTTAGCGGCCTCAGGAGACACCGGGACACCGGGGAGAGACACCGGGATACCGGGGGCTGCTTCCCGGGACAAACCGGTGTGTCTAATCGTGCTGGGGATGGCGGGATCCGGGAAAACAACCTTCGTTCAGGTGAGTTAGCATCGGGAGCTAACGGGAGCTATCGGGAGCTATCGAGAGCTAACGGGAGCTAGCAGCTTCTGCTAAGGGTGACACACAGTATATGAACAGAGTGTCAATACAGTATTAAAAACAATATAAACAATGATATTGAAACGGTGTTAAAAATCGTATTAAAAACAGTATCAATACATTATTAAAAATAGTATGAAAACAGTATAATTTCATTATTATAGACAGTATTAGAACTGTAACAAATAGAGTATCAATACAGTATTCAAAACAGTATTTGATCAGTAATAAATACAGTATTGTTGTGGCAATTCAGCACTCACAACAAGAAATAATGAAACAGAAAGGAATCAATAAAACACAACACAGATATAGTTGATTAATTATTATTTCGTTGTCCAACAATCAATAATAACGCGGAAACACTACCTTGCACACAAGCAGTCAAATGGTGTAGTGGCCCCATGAGTACAACAATCACACAGCATAGCTACTGTAATGAACGCACACACATTTTTCCTAACCATGTTTAACTAGCACACGAATAGGGATGTTTTCCCTCTGAATGCATTACTTGTCCAGATGTCGAAAGGTCATTATCTCATGACGTCTTTAGGAGTAATTAAATAACAAAGACTTAACTGTATTATGACCTGAGGGCCTCTTTGTACTCCCTCTGACCTCAGCGTCAGCTCACTCTAAGTGAATACATCCATTGATAATTAGCCATGGGTCTCTCTAAATCTGGAAACTGTAACTCAACAACACACTTGGTATAGCTTACCATGTGACTAGGCATAAGACTGATATAACATTACCAATACAGTATTAAATACAGTATTAGAACAGTTATAAATACAGTATCAATATAGTATTAAAAGCGGTATGAAAAACAGTATCAATACATTATAAAAACAGTATTAATAGTATTGACACTGTTTTCAATACTATGTTGATTCAATTCCACTATTATAACGGTATTAAATCAATGTTAAAACACAGAGAGAGAGATCAATAAAGCACAAACACAGATATGGTTGAGATTAATTATTATTTAGTTGCGCAACAACAATAATAATGTTTTACTAAAACCATAAAAATAAAGTGATACAAATAAGAATTGAATACATTCTTTGTTTCAAAATTTTTACAAAACATTTGAAAACAATTTTGAATAAAAAAAATCGGAAAATAAATATATATATGATCACAAATATAATAAATATTATTATATAATAAAATAATAACTGAAATAAGAAAAACATTATAACTAAATAATAACAAGATAAAAAAATATAATATATAATTCAATCTAAAGGATAGATGTTGTTTAGGATAAATAAGTGTTGGTTGTTGTTTAGGATAAATAAGTGTTAGCTGTTGTTTCCTCCAGAGGCTGACGTCTTACCTTCACACTCGTAAATCTCCTCCTTACGTCATCAACCTGGACCCCGCCGTGCACGAGGTGCCCTTCCCTGCTAACATCGGTACGCACGCACACACACACACACACACGCACGCACACACACACACACACACACGCACGCACGCACACACACACACACACACACACACACTCTCACTCTGTGTGTTTTCCTGCAGACATCAGAGACACGGTGAACTATAAGGAGGTGATGAAGCAATACGGACTCGGACCAAACGGAGGAATCGTCACGTCCCTCAACCTGTTCGCCACGCGCTTCGACCAGGTCTCAAAGAAAGCTCTGCACATTTGAAAGAGGCTCTATTCTGCTTTTCTGTAATGTGTTCTATAGGTTTTAGTGCAGCAAATCGGGCTTTCTCTAAATCTCCAAATTCTGACTTTTCTGAATACTTTACATTTGTAATAATCACTCGTCTCCGGCTTGAGCTTCAACCTCAGGATCCATGTATCTGTGATCCTCTCCAGAATGGAAGTAGTCATCACATACAGAGCATCAACTAGTTCCTGAACAGTGTCCTTCACATGCTGATATCCAAGAGAGGGAGTTTACACAGTCACAAGATGGAGGAATAGAAAAGCAGTATTCAAAGTTTAACTTCAGATTAGCTCCACGTCAGAAATGAGCATGCTTGATGTCTCTCTCCATAGAGGCTGAATCATCATGTTAATCACATAGCTATCATATGCCTCAAACAGTCCTGATGCTCTTCTAGGTAATCACACATCCTGTCATGTTCACAGCTACAGTTGATACCTTTGTTATCATGTTGCTCTCATGTTGGAAGAGGACATGCAGTATTTTCACAACACTAAGTATGCACACGTTATTAATAACACAATAAGTTAAACTAAATAGCAGATATGTACACCATGGTAATATTGCACGTAATAGCCGACAGCAAAGCACGAACATATCTTTAAATGAAATGAAAACTTCTTCAACTCTAGCTGCTTCCTCTCTGTAAGGGAGCGCTTGTTTTCATACGGCGTGGTGGACAAAGTATTATAAATGCATTTTTTGTAAACATTTACATTGTTGAATACGTACGAGGCTAATGACGGAGGAGCATTGGGCCTGCCGGATATTATTACAAACATTCAAGCTGTTACTGGATATTTGATCAAAAGTGACCCCGAAAAGCGCTTCATTGGCGAAGTGTAAAACAAGTCCTGATGAAGTGATCTGATGCTGTGTTCTTCAGTATAAAAACATTATTGAAAACGCTAGGAAAACAGTATCAATGCAGTATAACAATTGTTTACAAAAACTGTACAAACATTTGATTAACAGCAGTTATAAACACGGTATTAGACACAGTATAAATGATGATGTGTGTTCCTCAGGTGATGCAGTTCTTAGAGAAGAAGCAGCAGAACCACCGGTCAGTATTCACCTGTAAACTACTATAATATTAACATTTCATTTAAATCAGGCGAGTCACATCCTGCTTGTGATGACCTTTGACCCCTGCAGGTACGTCCTGATCGACACCCCGGGTCAGATTGAGGTCTTCACCTGGTCTGCGTCAGGAACCATCATCACTGAGACTCTGGTGAAGTTATTTTTCAAAGTCTATATTCTGTTTATTTTCCAATATGTTTGTCATGCCACTTCTAAAAATGAATACTAAGCTCTAAAAACATAAACAAAATGTTGAAATATATTTGATTCTTTACACATTTATTTCAGCATCTTCAATAAACATTTTATGCATTCATTTTCTATGTTTTGATATATAAATGTTAGTATTCCCTCTGTATTCAGTATTTGTGATGAATATGTTGCAGGGCGTCGTCCTTCCCCTGCGTCGTGATCTACGTCATGGACACCACCCGCAGCGTGAGCCCCGTCACCTTCATGAGCAACATGCTGTACGCCTGCAGGTACACACCACCTTCATGAGACCATCTCCTACACCACCTCTGCTAAACTGACAGAAATCTGTAAATGAAAACTACATTCATAAAACTCTCTTTCCAGAACTGAGCGCCTCTTAAATAATTAGTAAATAAATCATCCTGAGAAAATATGAAGTGATTTAAATGTGAAATATTGAGCTGTTTTTCATTCAGGAACAAAAACACTAATCTTGCATTAGTTTAATCAAGATGAAATGCTATGTGATTTATTTAAGTTACATCCAGCAGGGGGCGCTAACAGACCAGATAATAATAGTAACAGTATGTAATATATGTTCATTTTTAATAATGACAGTAGTATAATTGTTGTCACAGTTAATAAATAAAACATATGTTGCTGTTTATAATCAAAAATACAACTAACATGAATTAAATGAGATTCTCCTTGATAATAATGGACCATGTGGACAAAGTCAATATGTTTTTAAACAATATCAGTTCCATCTATTCTTTCTATATCTGTTAACAAACCCTTTTCAAAGAGTAGAGTGAATGTGTAATAATTATATTTCATATCTGGAAAATAGTGAACATGTTGTGGAGTTTCTCCAAATAACGCAGAGAGAGTTTTTCAGCTCTGTGTGTTTCCTCCTCCAGTATTCTCTACAAGACCAAGCTGCCCTTCATCGTCGCCATGAACAAGGTGAGGGGTTCCTGTGGAAATGCTTTAGAATCAGGAAAATGATACGTTATTCATTGCGGGAGGGGGGGGGGTTAGAGTTGCAATAAAAAGTTATTTATACAAACAAAAAATGTGTTTAAAACAATATCTGCAGTCGTGTATTGGTAATAATTAAGATATACATTGCACAGTTAAAAGATAATTGCAATTAAAAGTTATTTATATAAAAAAAGAAGTTAAAGAAAATCTGTATATTCTCTACATTTCTTTATGTCTCTGATGAACTGTTTCCTCTCAGTTTGTTGTGATGTTTATTTCTCTAATCAGCAGACCCTGGATCTCTCTGAGTTATCTTAACGAACCCTAACAAAGAGATCTCGCTAAGCGGTCCTACGACGCTAGTTATCAACTCGGTAACTCAAGCCAGGGTTTCTCTGTCCGGCTGAGTGCGCGTTCACATGAAAGGGGCGGGGCTAGCAACATTTGACCAATCACAAAATGGAGAAGCGTACTGACAGCGCAGCGTCATACTTCCTGAATGAAAAGTCAACTATAATATTAGACATATGAAGAAGTTAAACTTTAAACATCCATGACTTAAACACTTGATCCAGGATCAAAGCCACAGAGCTGCACCTGCAAGGTGAATACAGCTGGGAACAGAACAAGTGTTTGAATGCGTACATTAACAGGTTTATGATATCACTGCCCCGTCCAAGACACCATCTGACTTTCATTACATTTGACTCGAGTGTTTCCTCAACTTAATGTGTTGCTTAAAATAATCCTTCTGCATCCAGTCTGTGACACTGTGAGTGTTGCACGGCCAGATACGGCTCAGCTGACTCAGATCAGGAGATATATGATACATTATGAAGTGATATGCCGCGGACTGTACTTAATGTTACTCTGATCCGGTTACTTATGTTGTGGCAGATGTTTAAAGGGATAGTGGAAATTTGCGAATTTTGGGTTTAACTTATGTATTTTTATTAAAAATAAGCATAATAAACAATTTTTTTAAATTTCATGCGCCTAGTTTCATTTTATTTTCAATTTTACTGCGCCCTCTCAATGAAACGAAATACTTCGGGAATCGTCGGGAATCTTCGGGTGATGACGAGAGCAGAGGAAGACGGGCACAAACAATGGCGGACATTCAATAGCATTTGCATGTGAATAGCCGACCTTTATTATGGTGAATAGATGTGTTTTGTATGGCTGTAGTGCGACAGCAAATGCAGAGAATGGCGTATCGACGTATCACCTCTGGGTAATTTGGGAACCAACAGTTCCATTTGACCTTTTTCACTGTAAAAATCATTTTATTACTTAGAATTTTCACTATAGGTAATACTATAAGACTGTAAGACGGCAATACTTTATACCGAGTATATTGCCATAAATATGATGATTGATTATCAGTAAAAAATTCTACGTGACACAAAGACATTGGATTAACCTTGAGATGCGTTTTATTCCGTTGAACACAACTTTTGATCACAAATCAAAAAAAGGTAAGACGTAATTATTGTAATATTTTTGGAACCGGATGTTGTTTACTTTCTCTTTTCTGGCTGATAGCTCCAGGAATTCGAGGTCGGACAGTGATGACATTACATGTGTGGAATCTGTGGAGTCTCAGCTTTAAATCGTATATCTTGTTTGTGCAGTTAAGATAGTATAAGGGCATTTCTACCGTGTGTTGTGTGTAAAAAAAGCGTTAGCATTAGTTAGCATTGTTTCGCTCAATGCTAATTCAAAGGCTTGGTATTACTCTTGTGTTTTTTCTAGCTAACAATTGTTCTTATTGTCAGTTAGCGAGTTTCTTACCTTTAAAAGGGTATGAAACATTAATAGTTTCATAAATGTTAAGAAGCCCTGAGACATGTGAGGAAAAAAAAAAACTGTGGGAGGGGTCCACTGGGGGGACCTTCGGGCTTAACTGGTTAACAATGATTAATATTTGTAAAGGCTACAGGTGATCTTAAGATGCGTGAGCTATGCTTAGGGACCTACCAGTCAAGATTATTTGTGCGTAGGGGTGCATCATCTGGCGCCTGGTCCTGGTCATCCTCGCCATTGCCCATGCCGTGAAACCATCACCTCGGGCTCGGGCTCGAACACATAAGGACGTAATGGTCCATCGTCTGGCTCAATATTGTCACCATCGTCGCTTACTGAACCGGATTCAGATTCAGTTCCTAAAAACGACATTTTCGTAGGAAAGCCGAGGAGGAGTGTTCTGACTCGCTATCATCACTTGGATACCTCGTACAATCCTTCTTCTTTGTCTGGTATATTTGCCTTCCACCAGTCCACGTTCATTCTGCATAGACGGCCATGGTTTGTTATCGTATCGTCTTCCTAAGTTTTCGTCACTTCCCTTCCGGTTTGGGCTGAGTCGAACATTTCGTTTCTAAAAAACTTCGGGGAAGCTGCAATAAAGTGCTTCTAACATGCGTAAGGCAATTATTATATTTTTTAATCAGGTGTGATTGTTTTGGGTACGTAAATTATCTTGTATATAAGTTAAAACAAAACTATTTGAGGTTCCATTTCCACTATCCCTTTAAGTAAGCTTTCTTAACGCTAATGTTATAATAGTCAGATTGCTCTGAAGATGGAGGTGATATTCTATTAATGTTCACGTTCACACAGTCGGTGATTTTTGCCGGCCGTCTTTCCTGCGACGGCAGCTTTTCTGTTTTTCCTTTCTCCTGTAATATGACTTGATCGCTTTAAACTCCGCACACTGAGCTCTGATTGGTCAGCAGGCGGTGCTTTCACTGAGTTGAGCTCTTATCCTGCTACCTAACCTGCTCCGGAGCAGGTTAGCCGTTCATCATCAGTTACCATGGAGATCTAGCCCGCTAAAAAGAGAACCAGCGTCGTAGGCAGAGTTCCCGTTAGAATATTTTTTTGCCGTTCAAAATGTCCGTTAAAGTTTAAATCTTCCGGACAAAATTTGAAAAGTGCCGGTCAAAGGTCTTCTTTGTTATTTATTGAGCTTTAAAACAAATTGATATGATTCGATATTAAACAAACTAATCATAGTAGATTAGCTACATTATTCAAAAGTGTTCAGTAACTTACAATAACACGGGAATAATAAACGGAGCGCTCTCCCCTCTCCTGACAGTAATGAGTGACCCGACAGTGAAACTAACATATCTATAACTAGTTACGGTAGTTTGAGAGGTAATTAAAATAGCTACGTGTGATATTCTAACCTGGTGTGTGTTTTGTCCGCTCACCGCTGCATGTGATCATGCAGAGCTGCGTGTCGACTCGTCAGCAGCAGCTGATCTCTCTCTCTCGTCAGATTAGACTTCACTCGTGTTTATGTCCATATCGATCAGATCCAGCTAGTTCTAGCTAATGATATGACTACCTGCTTATTAAAAGACACCGAAACAATAAGCGTCGCTATGCAACTGGGTGAGGCCGCAAAGTATAGCGCAGCATTATGCATTTGTTTACACCGGAACCCCGAGGCATTACCAACAGATCAACGCACAATCAACCCATACAGGACATCTCTTTCTCCACATTAAGTGTTAGACATTAGAATGGACTCTTCTTGTCTGTCACATAAGTGGCGCAACTGATGCCAACCCTGTCTCCTAAAAATTACGTTCCCACAGAACTAAACTGCATTCTCAATTACGTTTAGTCTGTCACAGAAGTGGTGCAACTGATGCGGTATTGCGCTAAGGGGAACATTATTTTGACCGGACATTTTGACCGGAGAGATTTAGATTTGCCAGTCTTCAGCATATTTTACCGGTCATAGTCCGGTAATTACCGACTAACGGGACCTCTGGTCGTAGGACCGGAAACCCAGAGTTTACCCTGAAGTTAGCTCGCTTAGCGAAAATCCGGCTTCGTAGTACAGGCCTCTGGAAGGTCTCAGGTCTTGTGTTGTTTATTGTTCATCTCTCTCTAATCAGCTGTTGTCTCTCAGTTTGTTGTTGTTTACTTCTCTGATCAGCTGTTGTCTCTGTTCAGACGGACATCATCGAGCACAGCTTCGCCGTTGAGTGGATGCAGGACTTTGAGGTTTTCCAGGACGCTCTGAACCAGGAAACGTCGTACGTTGGAAACCTGACGCGCTCCATGAGCCTCGTGCTCGACGAGTTCTACTCCAACCTGCGGGTGAGACGGAGTTCAATCAGGACGCAGTGTTCATTTTAGCAGCTATTTTTGATCTAGTCTTTAGATGAAAATGGTTATTAGTTTTAGTCACATTTTAGTCCTTTTTAGCCTTCGTAGTTTTAGTCAAAATGTTTTCTCTCTTTAAACTAATTCAGTTCGGCAAATACAGGAATCTGAAATCTGAATGAAGGTGACAGCATCAGGTGTTGAAACTCGTTAAGCAACATTTCACTCTCCTAACACTTTACTTGTGTAATATCTAGGGCTGGGTATCG